TAATAAACAGTATATAAGGCCCTTTATTCTTATAAATATTTTTTTTTCTAATTTTGACATAAAGAGACATTTTTTGTAATCGCAGCAAGTGTTAAAATAATCTAGAAATAGATTTTGTTAGTGAACCTAGTAATAATTATGATACCAAAGAATGCTGAGTTAAAACATGCCATATTTTTAGGCTATTTTTATACCCTTTTCAAAAATTTTATGCTCCTCGTTTTATGCAAAACTTAAAATGCTCTTATAGCTTCGAACGAAGTCAGCAAAGCACCTCTGTTTTATAGTTTTTTCTGTAAAAACAGCAACACCATATATTTATGCACTTGAAATATTATATTTTTAAAAAATACATGGTGCTTGCTAACCTTCGAAAGAAGCCAGCACACCCCATTTTTAGACTCTTGAAATATTGTAAAACTTTACTAAAAAAATTGCTATTTTTAAATAATACAGGGTGCTTTGTTGGAACAAAGTCAGCAGGACACTTCAGTTTTTTAATATATAAAAACAACTACTTATGACACATGTTTAGGCTGTTTTAAAATCCTAAAAATGTGGTAAGTATATTTGTTTTCAGAAAAAAAACTTTGAAGTCAGCAAGGAATTGCGAATTTTTTTTAAAAATGTCAAATTTCGAATATTTTATAATATTGTAGGAGCCAAAAAATGTGGTGTGGTTTAAAAAAAAACTGGGGTGCTCTGCTGGATTCGTTTGAAGCTAACAAAGCATCCCGTAATTTTTTATTTTATAATACTCAATAGCCTAAAATGAGACATAGCTGTTTAAACAAAAATGGTACTTTTAAAAATAGCAGTTTTTTTCGAAAAGCTCTATAATATTTCAAAAATGTGAAAATGTGGTGAGCTTGTTTTTTTTAAGTTTTGAAAATCAGAGGTTCTTTACTGGATTCGTTCAGAGCTAGTAAAGTGCTCGTCTTGTTACATAAAATAAGGCATTTTGTAGCTGGTTGTATAGTTATTTTGTAACTGCATATCTAACCCTTTTATTTTTTTCAGGAGGTTGTAAACATGTGGCTTCATAGAAGAAGTGAGGAACCATCTGTAACATCTACTCAGTGTTATTGATAATGATGTACACTTGGCTAGATTGTTAAAGAAACCTCTTCATCCACTACAGGAAAATAAATCAGTACTTTTATATTCTTAGGATTTGTATATATTTTTTATTTGTAAATAAATTGTTTTTTTACTTCATTTTTCTCATTTTTTATTAAAAGGTTAATAAATAAAATTTTCACAGATTTTTATATTTTTGTTTGTAAACAATAATTGAAGTTTTTATTAAAAATCACCAATGTTAATAATAATAACTTAAGTCAATATTATTCTTTCTCCTTTTTTAAAGCCACTATTAATAAAGGTATTACTTTAGCTTGACCTATGATCAATTTTTAATTTTGTGATATATTTGGTTTGACAGAAAAAAAATTAAAACCCTTTGACATTGGTTGTTTTTACTTAGATTTTCATAAAAAATAAACGGAACTGCAAACATGTTTTACTATCGTAATAACGAATAGCATCATGAAATTTTTTTTTCACATTTATCACTGTTGTCATTTTCATAAGAAGGCACACTTTCTGGTTTTTTGAAAAAGGTGGCAAGCATTGTGATATTTTTAAATTTATCACCAGTGATACCACATGTAGTTACCCGATTTATTGGAATATATAGACTTTGCTACCACATTCAACTGAACTTGGTTTTTAATATTTATCACTGTGACATCGTTTTTGTTAAAATGTTTCATTTTAAACTGCTGTAAATAGGTGCCTTTGTTTTGGTAGTTTTAGTCCCAAAAAAATCTATGCATATACAGGTACTCATTCCTCTTCGATTTGCTCGAAAAGTTAAATTTTTATCAAAAATTACATTGGCTGTTTAAAAACTCATTATAATCCCTGAAATGTGATAATTAGGTAAATTAAATTAAAAAACAAACAAAAAAGTTTATTAAATTAATATTTACTCTTACAAAATAGGTTCTTGTAAGTTAACAAGCAATTATGCAGATATTACTAAGTAAATGTACTTGCTTAAAATTCACACACAAATGTGGTTTTAACATGTTAAATTAACTAACCCTTCTTATAACTCTTTCCACATGTATTCTTAGAGATGCTAATCTTTTACTTAATTGTACATCTTCTGGAGAAGTTTTTTCATTCTGTGATACACTAGGTGTGGCTTTACTAAAGTGTATCCCATGTTTTCAAGTAGCTGATTATTCTGAAACCCCTATCTGCCATTATATGGGATCCAGGAACCAGTTTGTTTAAATACCCACATTTTTCCATTATTTCTTTATCACTAGTTCTTCCACAAAATGATGAATAAATTCGGTATCTTCAAAACTTTCAGGAGATTCTGCATTTTCTTCCAGAAGGGTTTTTAGGTTATACACCTAAGAATTTATAGTAGCCTTATTTTCAATTTCCTGAAGGGGACAATTAGCAGAAATTGCTGCTACATCTTGATAATCCGGTGTATTTTTATTAAAAAGTTCACGAGAAACATCGCTAGTGTAGAAGGTTGATTTTCTTCTTTCCAAATTTCTAGGAACACTAATAAATATTTTTGAAGATGAATGTGAATCATTATCACATTCTGGAACAAAACACTTTTTCGTAGTCATAATATTTATAAAAAGTACAAAATTAAACAATCAAATTCCAAATAAATTCTTGATGGAGACACTATGATGACAGATGCCATACACAGTGCTGCCATTTTGCCATTTTCTGAATTATTAAGTGACTTTTAAAACAATGAAACTTTAAATATGGTAAAAGTTTAAACAGAAATAATACTTTAAAAAAACATTTGATATTATATATTTAAAAGATATTTGTTTAACGATGTTTTAGAAGTCTAAAAGTAAGAAGGAGTACACAAACGAACGTACATCACTTCTCGTAAACCTTCTAGCCGGCAACGTTGTGCGCTAGCTCCTATTGGTCTATTCCCGGTGACGTCATAAATTTTAAAAAAATTCATAACTCCGGCAAATGAATAGATAAAAAAAAAAATAAAAAAAATGTAATTTTATTTTCAACTCTATTATTCATAAAAAAAATTTCAAAATTTTTGAACATGCCCCATTTTAAATTCATCCAAAAACGCTTGAAAAATTCAACAGAAATTGAGATTAGTTTTTGGACACCTATAAGAAGTTCTAAATGAGTAGTTCAAGTGTACCTATCTTAAATTTGACACAGTAACACTTATTATTCAGAACAAACGTACCCGAGATTATTTTAGGGCTTCCAAATGTCCAAGTTAGTAGTTTAAACGAACCAATTGTAAATTCACCCAGAAACACTTGAATAATTCAAAAGAAAACTGATAGTTTTAGGTACCTATAAGAATATGTTCTAGTATATTTAAAGTGGGTAGTTCAAATGTACCATTCTTAAATTTGATACAGGGGTACCTAATAATTAAAAGAAACGTTTCTAGAGATTATATAAGGCATTTAAATATCCAATTTTTCAATTCAAATGTATAAATTTCTATGATCGTGGCACCATAGCTGCACTACTGATGTTAACACCAAAAGATTTATATTTTGTTTCACAACTCATTAAGACCTTAATAAGAAGCTTAATTATAATAAAGTTCACATGCCAAAATCAAGACGTACGACCGCTCAAACGACCAGATCTTAATCCAATTGACGTTTGCGCTGAACAGTAACAGCACAGTAACTAATGTTAAGTAATGAAATCGGCCCTCTCTTACTAAATTTAAACTACGTTCATTAATAATTATGCTAATCGTATCTTAAGACGCGAAGTGTTGTTTTCTAAACATTCAACTGTTCAAAATTAATGTAATTATGACTACGTTTAGCTGAAATTAATGTAAACAAAAATGACAGGCTTTGGAGCGTGGGAATTCGATTAGAAGCTAAAGCTGTGGTTTACGTCAATTCAAATTAGTATGTCGCAACCATTTTAAATTACAAGCTATGAAAATCCGCTACTTGCTCGATATTTATTAGAATTTGACGTGAGCTGTCAATGCGCCAAAGGATAATTGATGTTGGCAACGCTGTGTTGCCAGTTGTAGGGAATGACATTCGAAAAGATTGTAAATAACAATCATAATTTGTACATAGTCGTGGAAACATTGAAATGGCGGTGTAGAAATCGGAAGTCCAGTAATTATGAATAATTAAAAGTAAAAGTGGCCATCAAACTTTCAAAATTAATATAATTGGAAATGTAAATGTTTCACTAAAATTATAAAATAGTATTTTAATGGAAATCTAAATTGATAAAGTGGTGTTAAGGTCTTTGTGTGACTCTCTATTCAGGCTCTGCTCACTATAAAAAAACGTAACATTGGGCAGACAGTGAAAGATAAACCCAAATAGTACAAAGGAAGAATAATTTGGAATTTTGAGGTTAAATGCTAGACCAGTATAACTAGTCATCTAAGTGTAGAAGCTAAGGATTTGAGGAAGGAGCAAATACATTTTTCACTATTGCCTGTACAGTAGTTTCCCCAATATAATGACCAAAAAACCAACATCTCGAAGCCCCCCTGGATAAGCCTGTTACACAGAACGAGTGGTTCAGGAATTGGCAAACAATTAATGCCACTATTGGAACCATCGAATAGCTGCCGAAAGAGTTGTATGGGTTGCAAGAAAAATTTAACACCGATTGCAACGTAAGCCTGAGAAATTTCCAACAACTACGAGATGTCGAAAGTCTACAAGTGAAACTTCTCAGCTTGAAGCAGATGTTGTTGATGTCGTAAAGGAAATGGCTTAGCGAGCTAACTGTACAAACAAGTCCGCAATCAACTTTAGGGCACCAGAAATCAACAAATGGAGTATGAAGAGATCAAAAAAATGGTGAAAATTTAATAACATTTGAACATAAAATATAATAAAAAAAAACCATTTATGTTCCGAAATATTGGTAGAAAATCCAATATAGTATATAACCCTATAATATCAACAATACGAAAAAAGCGTTGACAAGAGCAAGTTTCAGATCATGCGGAGTGCTACAAAATGAGTTACAGCGCACAAAATGTTAAGGAGGATTACATTTTGACATATAATGCAGATAACTTCATGGCTTGTAAATAAAATAGTTAAATCTTCATAATTGGTATGTATGTGTACGTTTAAGACATCAAAATACGAGTTAGAGTTATTTCAGCTTTTCTCAATGTCATTTAAAAAATCCATTTGAAAATTTAGGAACGATTTGAACAAAGCCATTTGACGTGTTTTCAAGGATTTCGAGTAAAGGATGAACAGTTAGACATTAAAACATATAGCGAGAACAATAATAGAAATGAGATGATTTATTATTAATTAACTTACAAAATGAGGAACAAAATAAATATATTAATGACTGAACAAGGTGAATTATGAGCAATGATGACAACTAAAACTAGAAACACCCAAAATATCAACAAAAAAATTAAAACAAGGAATCACATTTGTATTTTAAATGGTAATGGTGTTACACTCTAACAGTGAAATGCAATAAGTGAATCGCGATCTTCTAAACAGTTTTTTTTGGGAGGGGGGGGGGGGAGGTGGAAGAACGAGCAACGTTTACCATTGACTAATTACTTTTCTAAGGCTTCATATTGCGACTGTTGCCAAAACGACAGTGATGTCATCCGGTTTACCACCTGAAATAAAAAAAGAAAACGATAAAAAAAATAAATTTTTATAAACAAATATAAAAAACAACAAATTGACAATAGGTACGGAATTAACAAATGATTTATCCGAGAGATAATTTAATTGCCTACAAAAATGACTTGAATGTTTATTGTCGTATCTCCAATAGTTTAAAAGTTATATCAACTTTTAAGTCAACAAATGGATCAGCTGCTGCAACTTTGATAGTACGTATATTTTCAAAGTTTAATAAAAAATGGAATAAAATTATTTCTGTAATTATAATGCACTAAGTCGTTATTGGAATTTTTATTTCTTTCAGGAAAAAAATAAACCAATATTGGGAATTTGTTTATAACAAATTGTTAACTTAATAAACAATGGAATTATTAATAAAAAAATATTTTTTGCTGTCCCTTTGTAGAGGACTGTCAATTATAATTAAAAAAAAAAAACAACACATTTCTTAACTAATAATTTAAACAATAGATATATTAAAAAAACGATTATAAACTATTAAAAATTATTAAGAAAAAAATTTTTTTTTAAAATCATAATTGGCAATTGTCTAGAAAGTTGTAAAAAAAAATTTGAAAAAAATTGAAATATTCCATTTGTTTATAAAAAATTTATAAACAAATGGAGGAAAAAAATTCTTTTTTAATTAATAAATGTCTTTTCTCGACATTAAAACAGTAATATAATAATTGAAAAAAAAAAAAAAATTTATAGCACCACTGTGACTTTTCTGTTTTTGTAAACTTTAAAAAATTATTATAAACAAAGTATTAACATTTTTTAAACTTTTATGTAGCTTTTTTGTTTTATATGTATATAAAAAGAACTCCACGAAGCAAAAAAAAATTACGGTAATTATTTAATATTTTTATCAATTTGTAATGATGAGAGAAATTCTAAAAATTTTGTTAATTAACAATAACCTACTTTGTTGGAAAATTAATTTTTATGAAAAATTCCAACGGGAATGAATTCTTCTAAGTATTTAGAATACACCGTAATTTTTAAAAATTTTTGAATTTCATTTTATTAACTTAAAAAAATTATTTTATGTAACGTACTCGGTTTCGACGCCGTGCGCGCAACCTAAAAATGGCGCGCGGAAGGCTACTTTGAGCGTTAAATTAAAATTATAAATAGGAGGTACAGTTCCGGGAGTCGGAACTTATTTATAACAAATTTCCTCCTCTTTAAGGATCTTTTTTGAAAAATCCAAAAATATTTATAGTTTACAAACTATAGGCGAAAAACCAAACACCACGTTTTTGAGGTGTTTAATTGTTTATAACTTTTGCAATTTTTTATGCACTGCAAAATTTTTCTTCACACATTGATCTAGACATTATTCCGAATCGAATGAGCTATTGAACATAATTTTCGTAATAGTATGTCCCAAAAACACGCTTTTGAACTTGTTGATTAGATATTACAGATGGTGCTTAAAAACTACAAATTTAAACAAATATATCAGACAAACAAGTTGAAAACAATTGTTGTATATATAACAGTTTATGTAATAAAAATTGCATGCAAAACTATCACATTTTTATAGAACAAAAATTATTTTTACTTTCCTATCTGTATACAGATATAAGGAAAGTATAGGAATCATGATTTTTTTCGACCTCGAGTTTTCGACGGATTTTTACGTTTTGAGGTCCCCTGAATCCATTTTGACTATTTTCGCGATGATGTCTGTGTGTGTGTGTGTCTGTCTGTGTGTGTATGTGTGTGTGTGTGTGTGTGTGTGTGTGTGTGTGTGTGTGTGTGTGTGTGTGTGTGTGTGTGTGTCTGTATAACGCATAACTTATGAACCGATACACAGAAAAACACCAAATTTTAAACTTAAGCTTTGTTTCAGCGTCTAATGAGCTGATTAGATTTTGGGCAGAGTCGGAACATTTGGGGGGGTACTTTATAGGTGGTCATTTTTATATTTTATGGAATATATCTGTTATTTACGTTTGGAGAAGAAAATTCTTTAAATAAAAGTTACTTCTAATATTATTATCTATAATTTTTGTTCTATACAAAATTTTCCTAAAATGGTCCGTATTCGAGAAATTTGACAAAATGTAAAAAAAATATTTTTTTATTAAAATTGTTCAAATAAAAGTTGTTTGTAATATAATTCTCTATAATTTTTATTCTCTACATAATTTCTCTAAAATGGACCGTATTCGAGATATTTGAGAAAATGTGTAAATTTCGAATTTTGAAGAAAACTCAAAAACGGATAAAGAAAAAAACATTAAATTTTAAACTTAAGGTTTATTTCGGCTTGACGTGAAATGATTAGATTTTGGACAAAGTCGGAACATCTGGGGGGGTACTTTATGGGAGGCCGTTTTTATATTTTATGAAATATATCTGTTATTTATGTTTGGAGAGGAAAATTGTTCAAATAAAAGTTACTTCTAATATTCTTATCTGTAATTTTTGTTTTATGTAAAAATTTCCTGAAATGGTCCGTATTCGAGAAATTTGACAAAATGTGCAAAATTCTGATTTTTATTATGAAAGTTTTTGAAATAAAAGTTGTTTGCGATATCGATCTCTATAATTTTTGTTTATACATGATTTTTCTAAAATGGACCGTAATGAAAAAATTGTAGGAAATTAAAATTTTTCAGTATTTTCGTTTTCCATGAATATCTATAGAAAAATGTTTCGAGGTAGATGTATGTGGACAATGTATATATTTAGTTTATCCTCTAAACATTTATATAACTAGATAGGAAAGTCATGTGTTGGACACATCAGATTTTTTTTTTCAATATTGAGTATGGACACATTTCAATAAGAAAATGTTTACACTTTTTTCTGAATTTATATCCTTAAATTTCGTTAAAAGCATACTATAAAGTTTTATATCAAGTATATTTGGTGATTTTGTGCCAAATTTCTAAACGTCAATAAAGTTGTCTATCGTTTATATTATATTATTAACTGATATTTGGTAAAGTTATAAGCATTTGCAATTATTCTATTGGCTGCTTATGAGCGCGAATAATAAACAATAATAAACAATAATAGCACTTTAATGCATCAATTTGCCTCTAAAAGTTTTCATAGACACCTTAATAATTTTAATCATTGTTTTCGATGTAAATAGGATTAACAAATTCGCTTTTACATCTAATTAAGAAAAACAACAAATTACTGATGACATCTTTATGAACAGGAGGATACCATTTTTTTCAAGATTTTCCAAAAAATTTTAATTTTTAATGAATTTCTCATATAAATATTTTGAATATTTTGTGCCGTACTTCAGATTATTTGTTTTTTCGTGTTCAATATTCAAAACAACATCCTTTATACCAACAAATATTACGAGTCAATTAGCACTTCTTTATATAACAAGGTTTAAAGTCTAGGAAAACATTAATATTTTACATTTAATGTGCCTTAATCAAATCTAGTTATAACTAGTAACAAGCTCTTACAATAAAGCCAAATTAAGTTGGTAGTTATACCAGATTATGATCTGAAATAATATATGTACGAGTATATTTTGTGATTGTCTCTATAAAGAGAAGTTGTAACCATATTTATTGTTATTTCCTTCAATATTATGCAAACTTACGTTGTTATATAAAAATGCTACCTGATTTTTTTTATGAGTAAACTATTTTGCAACAATGGGTTCTTAAGTGAAATAAAATTGGACAAATAAAAAACAATTATTACTTAATCTATTTGTAATATTTTTTTTTTTTAGAAAAATATAATATTCAACTATCGCTTTCATTTCTAAGTTATAGAAAACTTAAATCTTTCGAGGTTTGAGAAATGTATATAGTGCTTCTCAAAAGTCTTCGCCCCCCTCTTTTCTTTTGAACGGTGATACTTAGACTGATGAAATTTAGAGGGTGAAAATGAACTATTGTAAGCTTCTCTACTAGTGGTAACAGGTGACGTAATAGGCATCGGTGACGTCATCAGGCATTAGGCAATAATATTGAATGGGACCTTATATCAAGTGACACCTTGTTTGAAAGGTATTTAGAATATCTATTCAATCATACTATTTTTTTGGATTTACGATGTTTTTGATGGTTAAAATAAGGTCCCATTTAATATTATTGGTTTAAGTTGCTTGGTGACGTCACCGATGCCTATTACGTCACCTGTTACCACTAGTAAAGAAGCTTACAATAGTTCATTTTTCACCATCCAAATTTCATCAGTCTAAGTATCACCGTTCAAAAGAAAAAAGGGAGGAGGGGACTTTCGAGAAGCACTGTATGCCCCATCTGCGTCTCTGAGATAAATTCAATTAAATATAATTAAATCATTAAAATTTAAAAAAAATACGATATTAATTTTCAATCAAAAATTTGTTTGGAAGGTTAGAAAAGAAGAATCGACCTAATAATTTCTACTACTTATTTTTTAATCAATTTAAACATTTACGTCTTCCAATAATCACACTTTATTTTCAATTATGGAACATTTAACATCAAAAAGTCGCTTTATTTTTATAAAATTAGTTAACTCACCTATTGTATTAATACCATTTGCAAAAGCACTTTCAGCGAAAGGCGATATGAAAGTTTCATCAAATGAAAGATTCCTGGCCATCCACGCTAAGGAATTAGCTACCATTTGAAGACGGCCCGCGCATCTTTCGCCTTGGACCTAAAAAAAAAGAAGAAAAAAATCAATTTAAAATCAAAATAGAAAATATTTATCAAGTGTAGTGGAGGAGTGAGGACAGAAGTCCGACGCACGAGGGTGCAGCTTTTCCACTTGAACAAAATTTGAAAAAATAACTTTTCCTGGGTGGATAGTCCTCGGATTAAGCCCATAACCACATTAAAGAAGAAGAAGAAGAAAAAGAAGAAGAAGAAGAAGAAGAAGAAGAAGAAGAAGAAGAAGAAGAAGAAGAAGAAGAAGAAGAAGAAGAAGAAGAAGAAAATAAAAAATAATGTCAATACAATAGAAGATCTAACTGTAATCTATTTTTGGATGGTCCCTTAACCCGAGACGATTTCTGGGAAACAAGAACATCGTAAACCGGGCGGCCGACAGAAAAGGGTCGTTCAATCATATTCAAAGGTTCAATCAGTGGGTCAACTATTTGGATGGACAGATTATCGAACACCGTTGAGGAATGCAGTCGGTTTCTTTGTTAAGACTGTGTTATTCCATTTGTTTTAATAATTATTATTTTTGTAACGTTATTTTAATATTAATAAACTTCATACGTAAAATAAACATTTAATTATTTGTGTAGTTTACAGTTCAGGTGTGAGGTGAACTTACGGCTTACCGGAAAAACGTACGCGACGTGAATGAGTGGCGTTATATACAGGGCGTGCAATAACTTGAGTTGTTACGTAACTAAAAAGAATTTAATCATTAGATAAGTTATTTAGTGATTCGTGTTAAGTTAGTAAGATCTTCTTGTTATGATCGTGTTAAGAACTATGGACAAAGCTCTTAGTCCCATATTTATAAACCGATCTTAGGCGTACTCGATCTGAATGTAATTAGACTCCGACGGGACGAGACATTAGTGATAATAGGTCACCTTTTAACAAAAGGACCGTATAAAATGCGATAGTTATGTATGTCGCGAGAAAATATAATACCAAGCACATCTCGCGGTTTAGATACGTGTTCCAGTCAACAAAGTTATATACGAAGCTAGAATTAAACAGTTGGAGAGAGATTGTTAAGACGAAATCCCAAGTCACCATCTAAAATGCTGTTCGCGCTGACGTTACGAAAATCCAGAGGCATTTTTGAAGAATATCTGTCAATGATACGTGAGGAAAGTTTTTATTGCACAAAAAGCCATCTGTTAGGACACAGGCAGAGCGTTGCACCGTAAACGCAGGTAAAAGACCAGCTGAACGACAAAATAAGGGTGAGTCAAAACCAATTTTAATTTTTTCTAATAATCAGGCGTCTAGTACTTGCTATTTCATTGATTGTGTTATCAACGATGAACCTATACGAAGCTTTGTAGACTCGGGTTGTGCTGCAGTTACAATTCGTGATGCAGTCATAAGTTGCATCTACAGGGTTAGCCCACATTAGTACGTTTGTGTGGTTATGCGGGAGATTTTGTTATAGTACCTTCAAAGGTTACGACAACTTTGAATGTTGATTTAGCTACTTCTACTGTTGACGTACCGGATAATATACAGGATGTCCCTGTTATTGTAGGTGAGCCATCTTTAAATAATGATATGGTTACAGTTTTCGTTAAATGTAACCAAGTATGACATATTTTAATTAAAATAACGTCAACGTTACACATATTAACGAGTCTTTGTCTAAGAAAATTAATTTATGTGTAGAAGAAACTACTATTATTCCGCAGAATTCTGTAGGTGACATTTCTCCAATTAAAAATGAAAACGTTAGGGGTGTTTTTGATGATCTAAGATATTTTTGTAGAGCTAAGATGTTTTTGTTGATTTAAGATATATAAATTAAGATAATCATTTTCACATTAATGTACCGTGTGTTATTAATATGAACAATTGTTGCTGTATTCCTGTCTGTTACGAAAACGACAATACTTACTAGATGTTCTTCATGTACCGGAGATAAAACTTGCTTAGTAACAAAAATTGTTGATTTACTAAATTTTACATTATTAGCGCTTGAAAATCAAACTAATTCAGAATTAAATAGCATTGAACGTTCTAAATTACTTAGATTATTTAACGAGTATATTATGTATTGTTCCGCTACTAATTTAGGACAGGTTGCTAAAACGACTCTTACGAAAATGTTGATCACACTAACCGATAGCGAACCTGTAATGTACGGTTCATACTGTATGACTTTTATTTTGGTAAATGCTTCTGCTGTTATATAAAGGATTATGAACAAAATATTTAGACCCATAACGGAGAATAAATAATGAAGACCGGTGGATGTAGGATGAAGACCCATGACGGAGAGGAGGATGAAAGACCCCTAGAAAGAGGCAGGATAAGGAAACACCCGCAAAGGAAGCCCAAATCGGAATGGAAGTCGACACACCAAGGACACTGTAGCAGACTTTGCAGCACCTAAGGATATCAACGAAATTCGGCGATTTTAAAAATAAAGAAGCTAGTAGAACGATCCATATATGCTATTTATAACAGATAAGTGAAAACTAAAGAACATTATGACACCAGTAAAGTCGGACCAGTAGGAATACTTCTATAACGTAAATATAACAGCACTTTAGGCTACTATAATATTTAGTAGAGCCACAAGCAAAGGAGAGTAAAAATATTATTCATGAGCTTGAAACTTTGGCGGCTGTACGCGCATTTAAAAAGTTCTGTTTTAAGTGGCATAAAGTTAAAATCGTTACCGATTGTAACTTACTTCGTGACACCCATGTGAAACGAGACTTGATTCTTCGCATCGCAAATAGTGGTTATTAATTCAAGAATTCGATTTTGGCATTAAACATCGTTGTGACACTAAGATCAGCCACGTAGGCGCTCTGAGCCGAAGTACCACTATACTTATGGATAAATCACTTAACGTATCTGTATCTGTAACGTATCTGTATCTGTAACGTATCTGTATCTGTAACGTATCTGTATCTGTAACGTATCTGTAACGTATCTGTATCTGTAACGTATCTGTATCTGTAACGTATCTGTAACGTATCTGTATCTGTAACGTATCTGTATCTGTAACGTATCTGTATCTGTAACGTATCTGTATCTGTAACGTATCTGTATCTGTAACGTATCTGTATCTGTAACGTATCTGTATCTGTAACGTGTGGAGGGTGGGTTACCCCCCACGGCACTTAGGCCTCATTAGGTCTATTGTGCATCCTCCTTAGATGATAGGCATCTCCTAGCTCGTGAGCCAACCTACATATTTAATGTAGTTGACGTCGCCAAGAGGAGCTTCTCTTATATCGGCCGGTGTTAGCCTAATAATTTAACGTAATGATAGTAAATATTGAGGAAGAATACTTTCAGCACAACTGCAAGACATCACTTGTAACAATATTATCAATGTTTTGTCACGAGATCCTAAAGATAATGACAAACGGTGAACGACAAATTCATAAAGAGTACTGTTTAAAGGATAAAACGACTTTCGAAAAACAGCAAAAAGAAAGAGATGATTTATTCCAAAAACAGCACGACGAATAACTCTAATATTAGTACATTGCAGCATCCTCATGATAGGTCATTTTGCAGTTGATGACTTTACGAAATTTTTATAAGAGTGTTAGGATAACTCGTATCTCATCATATCAATTAACTGCTTTAAGAAATTTTTATAAGAGTGCTAGGAAAATTCGTATCTCTTCACATCAATTAACTGCTTTAAGAAATTTTTATAAGAGTGTTAGGAAAACACGTATCTCACCATATTAATTAACGGCTTTAAGAAATTTGTATAAGACTATTAGGAAAAACTCCTATCTCATCGTAGCACTTGACGGCTTTAATTTACGAAATTTGTATTTTTTTAAAAAAAAAAGCGGTACAAAAATACAACAATTGAGCCGGTGCCTGTACTGCAATTTCTAGATGAGGTAATAGAAATATTCGGGGTTCTTCGCAGTTTTATTTGCGACGGTGACACTGATTTTATGAAAAAGAATTTTAAGGAATACTGTTTAACTGTAGAAACAGGTATGTTTAACTGTAGGTGTTAAACAAGTATATTTAACGTTAGGTATTAAACATGTAGAATGTACTACTTTGACCCATCGAGCTAACGGTCAAGTAGAAGATGAATCCCGTTGGGATGAAGCTGTGAGCAAAGTTACGTTTGGAATTAATTCGACAGTTAATTTCACCACCATAAAATCACCTAGGACAGGTTGTACAAAGAATGATGTAAACTTAGTTTAACCATTAGTTTATTTTTTTAACTGGTTATATTTACCGTACAAATGTCATTTTTAAAACTATATTTAACAGTAACCGATCATCATACAACGAGGTTCATAGGTTAAACTAAGATTGCATTTTAACTGCCTGTTGTACAACCTACCCTTATGAATGTTTGTTTGGTTATCGCCCCCGTGGCTTAAGTGACGCATTTCTCACGTCAGAGGTTACATGCGAGCAACGCCAAGACCTAGGGACGTTGAGAGATGATGTTTCTCAGATAACGAGAACAGTAGCTTCTGCAGAAGCAGTATTACGATAAGAGGCATGCCCCGTTACGGGAATTTAAGGTTGGCCAACATGTGTTGATACAAGGCAATAAAGGCCCCAATGATGGGCGGAGCAGAAAGCTTGAACCTTGTTATAGAGGACCCTTCCTAGTTACTAAAGTACTTGATAATGATCGGTACGTGGTTGACGAACTGCTAGGGTCTGAACGTTGTAGGACAGCTAGATACGGGCATTTGTCCTTCAGACAAAATGAAGTGATAGTTTCGCAAAGCGACACTGTGAAGCCGAGGACGAATAAAAATATTCGTGCTCATATTTATTAATTTCAGCTTAATTAATATATTTTCTTTGTTATAGTTTAACCATGTTTCACGGGGTCGTGAAAAAGTCAGGTAGGCCGACTGTAATCTATTTTTGGATGGTCCCTTAACCCGAGACGATTTCTGGGAAACAAGAACATCGTAAACCGGGCGGCCGACAGAAAAGGGTCGTTCAATCATATTCAAAGGTTCAATCAGTGGGTCAACT